GAGAGAGAGGCGGCAAGATAAACCCCACCCAACAGCCTTATGCTTCACCTAAGATGAGCTCATTCGATAGTCTTCTGCTTCTCCTGACTTACAGTAACTGCTCAGAGTTGCGTGATAAGCGAACTCCAACAGCAGCCCCTCAGCGCGGCACACACACTGCACGCCTCACTACGGCCAACAGACGGCCACAGTTATTGTCTGAGCCTCCAGCCACACACCCAGGACCACTGACTGGTGACAGGGCAACTGAATGGGACATATTCCACGTACCACACGTTGTGTGTACGGCGGTAGTTTCACCACAGCACGACACTGTGTGCGTTCATAACCTCAGGCAACACACGATAAGGACACAGGGACCATCGGTCGTTTGCGGCCAAACCATTCCCAAATGTGTTGGCGTAGGTGCGTAGGTGCGTAGGTGCGTGCGTGCGTGCGTGCGTGCGTGCGTGCGTGTCGTGGGGAGTGTACACTGAATGGGGCATACACGTGAGAACGACACAGCAGCTGAACAACAACCCTGAAACCCTGACTATCTACTCAAGACGGAACGCCAATGCTTTGGAGCCGCGGGTCTGAGGGCGTGAGGGGTCGTGGTGACTGCGTAAGCGCATGGCAGCTGTGACACGTACGTATGTGCTTGTGCTTGTGCTCGCCTATAACGGCACTCAGGTCTGAACACCCGAGAGAGACGCCATGCTCAGCAGCCGCACAAACGACGCGAATGACCGAGTGGGGATGGTCTTAGCCGTGGCCTTAACGCGCACGTTGATATCGTCTGTCACCAGCACCACGTGTCGGTCCAAACGATCCACTTGAGGCGCACAAGCGGTGGCTGGGTTTACGGCTGTGTGGCATGAGAGACGGGTGTGAGCGTGGTGGTGAGGGGAGTGGTGCTGAGGTTGACAAGGGATGATAAGAGATTGGCACTGGGTATTAGTTGTACGACGTGTGCATTATGGGTTAGAGAGTTTCGCGAGCGGATTGAGTTCGGAGTAGGTATCAGCTCTGAACTGGTCGCCGCTTTATAAGGACAGGTATTTAACGTCACACGCATTGCTGCCCATCGCTGCGCAGCAGAATACTGAACAATCTCTAACAGAGACTATGAGACTGGGCTGTAGGGGTTTAGGGTTTTAGTGACCCCTAAAATACATGCGTGTTTTTGTGCTACAGGCAATTCACACAATAGAGACCGACGTCGAAACTTCATTGAAACTGTTGATGTACTATAAGCTCGCTTGGATGGGACAAATACAAGCACAGGCATAAACAAATCTTTGCAATATGCGTATATCATACCAATATGTATACGTTCAGACACAATACACACACATATATATATATGTATATGTATATATGGAACAAATACAAGCACTAACATATACTTACATATGTGTATATTATACAAATAAGTATACATATACATATACAAAATGAATGTATATACATATATATATATATATATATATATATGAGTGTGTGTGTGTATATATGTAAGCATTCGAATATGTACATATATATATGTGTGTGTGTGTGTGTTTATAGATATATATATATATATGATCCCCGCCCACTAGCACAACCCTGACAACACACAGTCCCATTAAGAGGTACCCCAAAATCAACACACACCCCCACCCCCACGCACGCTACGCACACCACAGAAGCCCCCTGTCACCCACCATTGATTTCGCCGCGTGTGCGTTCAGACATGTTGACACATGCTCCCAGGATCAGATCGTCGTTGGTGAGACCGTCAGGGTTGTCTTCGTTGGAGAAGCGGATGTTGTGCACGAGAGTCCCTTGGGCTGTAACGGCCAGAAGTGTCTGTGTGGCCTGGCTGTGAGTGTGCGATTGGAAGGCGGTCTCCAGATAGCTTACTGCGCGCTCGGCCTGTGTGAGAATAAGAAGCGACAGAGGATTACAGTCAATGCCATGGGCATAGGGGTAGGTGTAAGAGGTTGTGAGACCGTCTACAACGCACGTACATGGCCAAGAAGGGTTGTAGTACTCATGGGTGCGCGTAGTGGGCGGACATATACTGTGCCACAGACTGTTGAGGTGAAGGATGTGATCAATGTACATACGTGCTACAGGGAGTGCCTAATATGGTGCGCTCTGTTGTCATGGCAACAGTAACCCACCCACACTCCGCCGACCCGAACGTATCGAGTGCCGCCCACACAGCATACACACAACCACAGCCACACAGTCGAAAGGGCTGGCGAGCCCTACTAATAACATCAGCAGCACACACCTTCGCCTGCACGCGCTCACTCTTCGCCAGTCCACGCAGTTCGTTGACCACCACCAACGGGCACAGCACCTTAAACCGCCGACCCTCGACCATGGCCACAATATTCTGCAGATGATCTATCCACAGATTGGTATCGAAGCAGACGTACTCTGGCGTGACGCACAGCTGCACGCGGGTGGCTGAGATGCTCTCCTGTAGTCCCTGCTGCACCGCCTCGCGTGAGCGGTCGCGTGCGCTCATGATGGTCTGCAGATACTCTTTGCGCCGCAGGAGATCTGAGGCACGCGCGCCCCGCAAGGGGAAGGGGGATGGCGTGAGTGTTCAGCATTCATAAGATGTATGTGCAGACTAAATGCGGGTGTGTATGGTATGAGATGGGTGTGTATGATATGAGATGTGTGTGTATGGTATGAGATGGGTGTGTATGATATGAGATGGGTGTGTATGATATGAGATGGGTGTGTATGATATGAGATGGGTGTGTATGGTATGAGATGTGTGTGCATGGACGTGGTGTGTACCCCAAGTCCCTAACAGGCTCAATGTCCAGACGAAGACATAGATGCCTAGGTGGTAGGATGGTGCAGAGGTGGAGACACAATATACCAAAGGGAAGATACGATTGATATGCGTGTTGTGTATGTCATGATATATGAATATTGTTGTGTATGTCATGATACATAAATGTTGTTGTGTATGTCATGATATATGAATGTTGTTGTGTATGTCATGATATATGAATGTTGTTGTTTATGTCATGATATATGAATTTTGTTGTTTATGTCATGATATGTGCATGTTGTTGTTTAAATCATGATATGTACATGTTGTTTATGTCATGATATGTGCCTGTTATTGTTTATATCATGATATGTGCCTGTTATTGTTTATATCATGATATGTGCATGTTGTTCTTGATGTCATGATATGTGCATGTTGTTGTTTATATCATGATATATGAATGTTGTTGTTTATGTTATGATATGTGCATGTTGTTGTTTATGTCATTATATGTGCATGCGGGTTGGGGTGTTTACACATCAGCAGCTCTGGAATACGACAAGCCATCTTCAGTTCTCCCCCACACCACAGAGACAGTCCAAACACTACACAGACAGTTAACATGCAATGGAAACGTGCGCCTAAAGCCTACGCCTCACCCCACTGCACTATTGGACAAATACTCTCTCCAGAGTCAGTACTCTCAGTAGGTTCAGTTGTATCTAATATATCGATGCACACATCCCGTTCGCGTACTATATTCTATTTCCTGATCACACCCATTCAGAATCAATATGTAGATATTTCGTACACCCACACCAGAAACATGACAACATCCACTGACAACCAAGTATGCTCTTATCACCTGCATCTCTCATACCTGCTATGTCGTCCGTTGGCTCACCCTTCGTCCCGGTATTGCCATTCACCGATTGCGGTACGCCGGAGGCCTCGTGACTGGGTGCAACATTGTCCAGCGCACTGCCAATAGATTCCTTTTCTGTGTTTTCGGATCTCTTTGGGATCTGAGTGGTTGTTAAAAGGGGTTTAGGGAGTGAGGGTTTTAAGCTTTAAAGGTTTTGCGATTTTAGGATTTTTGGTATTTGTGATCATACATATTTCTTGAGGTGCGTACGCAGATCTGAACGTCTTGCAGAGGCGTTCGCACAGCAAAACGTACAGTTTACACTAAGAAGAAAACGGAATGACCCTCGGCACCACAACACTACAGACCACCACACTCTCAATCAGCCAACACACACGACACAGTCAACACACACACACAGTCAACACAAACACACAGTCAACACACACACACAGCCAAGCGATGGGCCACATGAGAGGGTGCCTGTGCTGCAACCAGCGAGACAGCGCTGTGGGCTGTGCACTCGACACACCTGCGCAACCAACGGCGCGGGATCAGACGCCAGGCGCTGGGCCACGGGGTCGTAGTACAGCAGTCCGTCCATCACATCCATTGGTGTGCACATGCGCATGGCCTCCACCAGATGTTCATCCGTCGCATTCTGAGGCGAGCGCGATGGGGTGGCCGGCTCTGGGCTGTCCGTCAAGTGAGAAATTTCGGCGGGTTCCTGGACCAAATCCCGATTCGGAGCCGGATTTGGCACGGTCCCCAAAGCCCTTGTGGCGCAGTTTGTGAAGCGTGCTAAACACTTCCAACGCAACGCATCATCCAATAGCTCCCGTTCAACGTCACTAAACTCAATGACGTCATTTCCCCGAACGGCGCCATCGGCGACGTCATCGCCCGGAATGGCGTCATTGTTTGACTGAGCTGTGGGGGGTTCGTTCTCAAACGAGAGTTCGGCATGGGCCTCGGTCAGATAGACCAGACCCGCAAGTAGCCTGTCCTCCCACAGCGCTTTAGGACTCGGTTTGTCCTGCTGTGTCCGCGTTCCATTCGCAGCCCCCGATTCCAACCCGCTGGTACTTGAATTGGCCGTCTGTTGGCGTTGACCTGTTTGTGACTGTGAACTTTCGGCGGGGTCGGAGCTCAGGCCACAGATCTTGGCAGAGGCGTAACCTAGACGTGACACGCTCACCCAGAACTTACGCACCAATTCTGATGGGCAAAACGCAATGGAATGAACGGGCCAACGAGGACATGTGCAACGGTTAGTCAACACAATAATCTTAATACAACCGTTCGTTTAGATGAATACGTTAACGGTAAGAAGAAAGGAAGAAAGGCGTGGGGAGTGAGGAGTGTGTAAACAACCTCATAGTCTGTGTGGGATATGGCCGCACAACTCTTAAGTTACGATTGAAATCATGCAGGCATTTTAGGAATTTAGGGATTTGAGAAATTAGGAATTTAAGGATTGAGGAATTTAGGGATTGAGGGATCTAGGGATTTGGAGATTTAGGGATTTAGGGATTTAGAGATTCATTGTAAATATGTTTTGTATGAGATAAATGCATAGGCACTGAGCTTTTGGTGTGACATTTACATACCTGGGTCGGTGGCATAACATTTCGACGAGCCCAAAATAGGCAGCCACAGCGCCGGGCAGTTGATCAGCCAATCACAGTACACCTTTAACGCCGGCAGGACCAATCGGATGAGAGAGAATTGCGACTCCGTCATTGGCAAGCTGAGCATCCTGTGAGGTCATTGGAGTGTAAATTTATGTGTGTACTATTTTTAGATTCTAGTTGTGCGACGATGGTTCTAAATAGTTTGGGGTCGGCGAAAGTATCTAAATATTGTACCACTAAACCACTTTCATGACACTTTCAAAGACACTTCCAATGACACTTTCATGACACTTTCATGACACTTTCGCAGAGGGTAGCCCTGTACTGTCGTACCTGAGCCATGGCACACACAGAAAACACCAATGAACACACACACGAGTGTGTGCTACAACCGAGGCATAGGGCCAGCGTACGATTTTTCTGTAGAAGGGACCACGAGGGTAAAGCCCGCTCCTCTCATTCCGGCTGTGCATAATTCCCCGATCTTGGCATCGTGTTTGACGCAACTAACCCCCAAAAGCCTAAACCCTAAAACCCTGAATCCGTACGCGCAGCATATACCTGTTTAATTGACCATCCTTGCCGTCTCGGACCTCGTCCCATTCACCGCCCAGCGATGCGAGGAAATCGTCAGACAGCGAGTTCGTTAAAGCCGTCACTAACAGGACAAACAACTCAGTGGCAAAGTGCACAGCCATCCCATGCAGCACCTCCGACTTGGCCTCGGCATTAGGCTGTTCATGACCTTTGACAACTACACAGAGATAGGAATTAGTACAATAATATTAATCAATTAATGCGCACTCAAAAGTACTACACAGAGATAGGAATTAACACAATAATCTTAATCACTTGATGCGCACTCGGAAGAACTACACAGAGATAGGAATTAGTACAATAATCTTAATTATTTGATGCGCACTCAAGGTTACGTGCCTGTCTTTGAATGGGTTGGTATTAGGTTGGGTTATATGGTTCAGGGGTTTGTTGAGCGCCCAGAGAACAGACTCTTACGCTTTGGTATAAAACATATCACGAAGGGCAGAAAGACGTGCACCCTTGTGACGTTTGTGTACGCTATACCCCATCCACGTGGTCACACACGTGGTAATGCAGATGGACAGAGAGTATATGCCCAGCAGTATGTGATAGGAACGCAATTCCGAACGATTCACTGCACACACATCAACTACACTCTCAAAGGTATGTACAATCTATAGTCTATATTGAGCTTCATGCTGTGAAGATGGAAACTCTCACGGCATATACGGTTCAGTAAACTCCGGGATCGGCACAGCATGAACACATACCCACATACACACACACAAACATATATATATATATATATATATACATATATATATGTATGTATGTATGTGTATATATATACTTATATATACATACATACATATATATAGATAGATATATATATCTATTTATATATATATATATATATATATATTTATGTATATATGTATGTATATACACACACATATATATATATATATATATATATACCATTCCACACAGTGAAAAGATATGTGGCCAGTTTATGTGCTAGATCATTCTCGGCTCTTTCGCATTTACGAGGCTTCATCTCTCCCCACGATTGATGAGTTCCGAAACCCCCCAGAAAAGACCCCCACAAAAAACGAGAAATGCACACATACCGTGCTTGGGATTACCAGGGCCACGCTCGTGAATAGAAAACATGCACAGGCCCATCAGCTCTACCAGACACCCCGCAGCCAACCACGGCTGTGAGTCGTGTGTGTGTAGTAGCACATTGAGCTCACGCACAGTCTCAGCCATGAAGTGGCGTGTGGTGCCCAGCCCCACGCGCGTGAATAGAGTCGCGTGGACGTACAGACTGTGGTGAACAAAGCGCCAGCAGACGGTCTCCACCCCACCCAGGCGCCAGATGTCCTTGTCCAGAGTCTGTGGACGGGGTTATAGAGTTTTGGGGTTTAGGGTTTAGGGTTTAGAAGTTAGATGGTTGATAGTTTATGGTTTGGGATTTATGGTTTATGGTTTTTAGGGTTTTTTTTCGATTTGAGATTTAGGGTTTATGGTATAGAGTTTAGGGTTTAGAAACCCGCGGGATGCCCGCGTGTGCTCATTAAGATACAGTCTACCCCTCCACCGCCACCGCCACCCACCCCGCTCACCTGCTGATCCAGCGGTGTGTCGGTGTCCCTGTCGTCTGCGCAGTGTTGCACCAGTGTGCTCTCCTGCCCACTGTATGGCTCGTAGCGCAGCTTGTCCACTCCTTCCATCCACACCAACCCCGTCCATAGCAACCACACCTCAGCCGGCGAATGCGCCGCCTTCGCATGGGGTGTGGCGGCGGTTGTAGCAGGCTCTGTACAACGCAGGCGACACAACGACATACAGACTCAGCAGTGTGTTGTGTGCTTAGGGTTTTTAGGGTTTTTATTAGACTCAGAAGCGTGTTGTGTGTTTAGGGTTTTGAGGGTTTTTATTATACTCAGCAAGTGTGTTGGGTGTAGTGCAGGGCAACTTGAATAGGGGTTAGAAGCTCTTAAACAGAATCAAATAGGGCAATTGATACGTCGTGATCACGGTGTGGATTGGGATATTATGCGCAAGTGTATAGGGTTTTAGGGTTTTATGTGCAAGTGTATAGCAAAGCCACAGATCTGATCATATACCTACATATGACATTCCACGAGACTCCATACACTTACATATGACATCAACACCCTTCCCTATAGGGTGCTGGTTTCTGGCATGTTGTAAGCGTGTCCCTACGTGTGCACGTAACAACTGACAATACAACACAGCCCACTATCAACTCACTACAACTCACCTGTGAGGACGACTGGGGCGTTCTCCAGCACCATGACACGCACCTTCTCAAAGACATTCAGCAGTGTGTCTCGCGCAGTCATAAACGGCACTTTGACCGCCAGACTGCGCACAAAGAAGTAGGTGGCCTGGAAGAGCGAGTCCTGGTACGTGGCTATGACGCCCAGCTGCAGCGCAACCGAGTGACGTGGGAGGAATTAGGGATGTCCAAGTGTACACACATGTATATACTATGCACTAACAATAGACTACAGATAAACTGATAAATAAATTTCTATGAGTAGATTTCTATAATAGATCTCTATAAATAGATTTCTATAGATAGATTTCTATAGATAGATTTCTATAAATAGATCGCTATAACTAAATTTCTATAATAGACTCCAATAAATAGACCTGTATATATGGACTAAGGTATGAACGCCGCTGAGCTGTATCGCTGCTGCGCCCGAATAAACCGCCAGTCAGAAGTGCAGCATGAGCCAAGAGATGTGTGTGTGCTCTAGGGGAGTACATGCACACCAGATACAGAACAGAGTTACAATGGCAGAACCCACGCCAACCCCGCCAGAAAGGAAGTGTTAATGAGAATAGTAGTTCGTCTATACACCCCATACTAAACATACGCAACCGATGTGAGTGCATAGACATCACACTCTGCATCACAAGCATCTAAGTAGTGGGTGCATAGAGACAACACTCCTTACCTAAGACCACCCATGCATGTATAGTCAGTGCATAGACATCACACTCTGCATCACAAGCATCTAAGTAGTGGGTGCATGGATACAACACTCCTTACCTAAGACCACCCATGCATGTATAGTCGGTGCATAGACATCACACTCTGCATCACAAGCATCGAAGTAGTGGGTGCATGGAGACAACACTCCTCACCTAAGACCACCCATGCATGTATAGTCCCAACAAACTCTTTACAGATACAGAACAATATAAAACCCTATATCACACAATGCCAGTCCAACGCAAATCCTACATTTAACGTAGATACCACAGTGTAATGTAAATCCTACAGTCTAACGTAAGCCTTACCTGGTTGTACGGTCGTGAGTTTTTGGGTGCGAGTGCGCGTGCACATGCGTAGTGTCTGACTGATTGCGTGTGGTCGGGGTCGTCTGTGTGTTGGTGCTGTTGGTAGTATCGCCCTAAGTCACCCAAAGCCACAAACGAGTGGTGGCACGTGAGCTGTGCAAAGGTCATACCTTTGGACGCTGTGGTAGTGAGTGTATTAGAGTAAGTGAGTGAGTGAGTGTGAGCGTGCGAGTGTGTGAGTGTGGGAGTGTGCGTGTGAATGTGGGAGTGTGTGTCGTATGATAGGGTGTTTGTGATGTTGGGTATGGTTCATATGGTGTGTGTCTGCGTGTGTGTACGTGCGTGCAATTGCGTGGCATTGGATGAGGCGCGTTAGCTGTCCCGATTTGTGTACGCCCACATGCACACACGCCACACCCACACACAAAAACTCGCGCCATACACACACAAGCGTACCAAACACCTTAATACACACGCACGTATCATCACATCACGATATACCTTCACATACACTCATAAACCACACATACATGACAACACAACCCTTGCACATACACGATTGATATGTTACTATGTGTGCACCTACATAACAACATAAACCTCTCACATACGCCATTGATATGTTAATACATGTGCACTTGCATGACAACAAGAACCCCTCAGATACACTATTGTCCTGTTATTGTTGTGATGCGTGTACCTGCTTCGTCGCCTGTGTTTTCTCCTTCATTCCGCGCATACAGCCACAGAGGTTCGCCATAGCCCGCAAAGGTGTAGTCAATGCCTTCGACCAACTGCAGACTGAAATGGTACCGAACTTCCAACTGATTGACCAGTGACTGGTAGAAGCCTTGGCTGCTCTCAATGAACACCGCCAGTTCGCGATTCACGGCATCGACCATGGCCTTGGCCGCGTCTTGGAACTGTCATATGTATATATATATATATATATGTATATATATATG